TCAACACATCTCCGTAGCCGTAGGCTGTCGGTTAGCGCTACGGATATGTGTTGAAGCTAGGTGTCAGGACGTCGAATGTTTCAGTACTCTGTCAGTTTTGTGCCTAGTTATTGCACTTTCTGACTGTATATAGTATCATGTTACAGTGATGGAGAGTTGCTCTTAACTCGTATCCATATGTCCTTTTCTCTTCCACAATAATAATATTAATAATAATATTATCTGGTTTGAGGGAAAGAGACAAACGGGAAAAGTCTGAAGAAAAAATTGACTGTCACCACCAGCACTCGAACCAGGAACCCTCGCTTGTAGCCAGCAATGCTCTAACCACTGAGCTATGGTGTAGTCGTCATCCCAGCAGAGGCCGTTCAACATTTTCTTCAGACTTCGTAACTCACACTTCCTGTGAATCCACACAGGCGGGTGGGACGCAGCCCTCACTGTAACCCACACACTTCACGTACAAACTAGCACGCGGGGAGCCCCAAGTCATAAAATATTATCTGGTTTGAGGGAAAGAGACAAACGGGAAAAGTCTGAAGAAAAAATTGACTGTCACCACCAGGACTCGAACCAGGGACCCTCGCTTGTAGCCAGCGATGCTCTAACCATTATTATTATGCTCTAACCACTGAGCATAATAATAATATTTAATAATTTCCCGTTTGTCTCTTTCCCTCAAAGCAGTTAATATTTTATGACTTGGGGCTCCCCGCGTGCTAGTTTGTTCATGAAGTGTGTGGGTTACAGTGAGGGCTGCGTCCCACCCGCCTGTGTGGATTCACAGGAAGTGTGAGTTACGAAGTCTGAAGAAAATGTTGAACGGCCTCTGCTGGGATGACGACTACACCATAGCTCAGTGGTTAGAGCATTGCTGGCTACCAGCGAGGGTCCCTGGTTCGAGTCCTGGTGGTGACAGTCAATTTTTTCTTCAGACTTTTCCCATTTGTCTCTTTCCCTCAAACCAGTTAATCATTTATGACTTGGGGCTCCCCGCGTGCTAGCTTGTACGTGAAGTGTGTGGGTTACAGTGAGGGCTGCGTCCCACCCGCCTGTGTGGATTCACAGGAAGTGTGAGTTACGAAGTCTGAAGAAAATGTTGAACGGCCTCTGCTGGGATGACGACTACACCATAGCTCAGTGGTTAGAGCATTGCTGGCTACAAGCGAGGGTTCCTGGTTTAAGTCCTGGTGGTGACAGACAATTTTTTCTTCAGACTTTTCCCGTTTGTCTCTTTCCCTCAAACCAGTTAAAATAATAATAATAATAATCTTCACTAATACTAATAATTTTAGAATTGCGATCAACAGAACGAGCTGAACCGACATTTTCACAAAGGCTTTTATTGTATTCAAAAAACGAGTGTATACGAAGGCAGTGAAGAACATGGAAGAAAGAAAAAATGTGATATGGAAGAAATGATGAACAAAAAATTGTACTTGGTCCGCGTCAGCAATATTGTCGCTTATCTTTTGACAATTTGAACTTAGGCTTTTGACATGAACGCGTGCACTTGAAGTGATAAAACTTGGTAGGATGGACGGTAAGGTGTAGAATGACAACTAGCTATGAGGAATTTATTGTCCAAGGAAGGGTTCCTACTTTTTTCGGTCCTCCTCGTTGCTGCTCTCGGCGCTGGTGACAAATATTTTGCTTGGGATCGACTCTCTTGCTTTTGCAAGCTCATCTCTCTTCCTCTCCGCTGCCTGGCAATTTTCTAAAGAGAAGTCGATCGTGACGGTCGCCTTCTCTATAGGACTTCGCGTGGGCAGCACGACAGCCTTTGTGGTTCAAATCAGACGCCGTTCTTTGCAAGATTTTATTTTGAACGACGACGACGTGTACAGTACTTGCAAATCTCCACAACGCGCTGGATACTCCGAGCATTGAGCTGGAGGTAAGGGAGCTGCGATCTCAGCTTGACGAGCGATCACTGAGGTGAGCGATCTCGGCCGTTCAGCAAAATGGAGCTGATTCCGAGTAGCCGGTTCCTTTCTTGTGGCTTGCGCTGCTCTTACCTGCACAGCGTAACTGTACTAACACGATAATCTATTTTGATGCGGCGCTGTATCAATCAGAATCACCCACACGTCGCTCTCGAAATCCACTCGAACTCTAGCTAGACCTTTCAGGTACTAGCAAACTAACTTGCTAACCAAAATTGGACTGAAATGGGCTGCCAAGTGAGCATTGGCGACATATATTTAAAACAAATAAAAGCTGAAAGATAAGCGACAATATCGCTGACGCGGACCAAGTACTTCGAACTAGTTTTCGCACAACACTCCTCAGGAAGCTACGTTGTACTAATGAAAAACAATCCAGATAGATACTAATAAAGAGAAATGGAGTGAGAAGAAACAACACCTATGAAAATGATAATCCTAGCACTAAGGTAATAACAGGAAAAACTGCGAAAGCACTTAACGAACTTGTAAGGACTACTAGTATACTGTGACACAAGATCTGACACCATGGCCAACCAGAGCCAAACAGACAGAACAAGTTGCTACTAAAACAATTTCAAACGAATAATGCTGTTACTAGTTCGAAGTACAATTTTTTGTTCATCATTTCTTCCATATCACATTTTTTCTTTCTTCCATGTTCTTCACTGCCTTCGTATACACTCGTTTTTTGAATACAATAAAAGCCTTTGTGAAAATGTCGGTTCAGCTCGTTCTGTTGATCGCAATTCTAAAACTATTGTCGCCTCGACGCCTATTTAAATAATAATAATAATAATAATACAAAAAAAGTATTGTCTACGCATGCATCTACGCAAGAGTCACCACCAGCCAATTAGGACATGTGTCAAAGTATTGAACGTTTTCGTTCCCTTCTTGTCAAAATACTACAGGGAATGATGGAAATAAGCTAAAAGACTACAACTATAAGGAAAAGAAGTTCAGAAATATATCACTCCAATTATGTGTAGAAGTGACACGAAAAAAATAGATGTGAAGAATCAAGAAAACAGCATGCAAATCCAATAAGTGACAAAAACGTAGTGACAAGAAAAAGAGAGAAACATCAAGAGATCTATTTCGCACCTTCACGACGAACAGTGCCAAACAACTGTAAAGACAACACATTCTCCTTCTGAACACAAAGCTCAGGGTCTAACTTACGTATGTACAAAGCTTCCAACACGGCAAGATGTAACAAAGACCTACCACGCGACAAAACAGAGAATACATCATCGGAGTACCACTCACGACAACTAGCACTGCCCGACAGGTGACACTTGATTGCCGAGGTACCGTTTCCCTGACCCGACGACTTGGCCGTTGTCACCTCCGATATTGCCGCTTGCGAATCTCTCCCATTACGCCCTGCGTCCCTGCAATTCCGATTGCCTCGGTCGAGATCCGTGTGCTGCTCCACGTCCAGTCTGTCCTGCTTCCGTGGTCTACCTCGTTTCTTCACATTAACCGTTGTTGTCACTTCCAGTATTGGTTCTTTTGATTCGTCATCAATTCGTCTCCTCAATTGACTTCTGGTGACTCGTCCGGGGCTCGATTGTCCAGATGTCAGTTTCGGTGGTTTCCGTATCGGTCTCTTCTTCTTGTTGACTGTTGTTTGGGTTGGCTCCAGCCCTCCGCCCGACGAAAAGGAGGAGGCATCGACAAGCGTATCCACAGCGGACTTGGACAAGTCCACCTCAGACACAGACTGCACTGGACACTTCGGTGGACGACCACGCCGAGGTCGAGAACCACGTGCAGCTACAGGGACAAGATTCAACGGTACATGTTGACGAATCCGATACGGAAACCACCGAAACTGACATCTGGACAATCGAGCCCCGGACGAGTCACCAGAAGTCAATTGAGGAGACGAATTGATGACGAATCAAAAGAACCAATACTGGAAGTGACAACAACGGTTAATGTGAAGAAACGAGGTAGACCACGGAAGCAGGACAGACTGGACGTGGAGCAGCACACGGATCTCGACCGAGGCAATCGGAATTGCAGGGACGCAGGGCGTAATGGGAGAGATTCGCAAGCGGCAATATCGGAGGTGACAACGGCCAAGTCGTCGGGTCAGGGAAACGGTACCTCGGCAATCAAGTGTCACCTGTCGGGCAGTGCTAGTTGTCGTGAGTGGTACTCCGATGATGTATTCTCTGTTTTGTCGCGTGGTAGGTCTTTGTTACATCTTGCCGTGTTGGAAGCTTTGTACATACGTAAGTTAGACCCTGAGCTTTGTGTTCAGAAGGAGAATGTGTTGTCTTTACAGTTGTTTGGCACTGTTCGTCGTGAAGGTGCGAAATAGATCTCTTGATGTTTCTCTCTTTTTCTTGTCACTACGTTTTTGTCACTTATTGGATTTGCATGCTGTTTTCTTGATTCTTCACATCTATTTTTTTCGTGTCACTTCTACACATAATTGGAGTGATATATTTCTGAACTTCTTTTCCTTATAGTTGTAGTCTTTTAGCTTATTTCCATCATTCCCTGTAGTATTTTGACAAGAAGGGAACGAAAACGTTCAATACTTTGACACATGTCCTAATTGGCTGGTGGTGACTCTTGCGTAGATGCATGCGTAGACAATACTTTTTTTGTAATATTTTCTGCCTCCGTCCTACTTTCAAATAATAATAATAATAATAATACAAAAAGGAACAGCAGTTGTGATGCACAGGTTACTGTTGCTGTGTGTTACTGTTGCTAGGGTTACTGTTGCTGTGTTTAGCTTCACTCCTGAACTGCAAATGGTCTCTTTACTGCGATTCAAATGTATACAGCACAAAATAATCGTGCCAGGCATGAACGTTTTGCGTAATATAAAATTTAATTTGAATCGCAGTAAAGAGACTGTTTTGAAGTTAAAAGAAGCGAATTTTCATAAAAAAAAGAATTTTCATAAATGTCTAAGTGGTTGCGTTGGAGTTTGCGGGAAAAAAAACGGTTACTGCTGGCAAAAACAATAGCAGTTGAGCCGTGTCTTCATTCCGCCGTCCGTTTTGCGTGTGTGCTGCTCCATCTCAGTTCCGGCGAGGATTACGTACACCACGCCGGACACCGTTCTAAAAGAAAGCAGCCCTGCCACGCTTGACTGCCAGTACGAAGGAGATAAACCGGTGACAGTAACTTGGTTCTTCAATGGATTTCAGTCTGCAACGCAGTCGAACCCACTGGTCTTCAGCAGCGTCTTGACTGTGGCTTCAGGTAACTACACATGCGCTGTCAGTAATGCAAACGGCAGCGACTCCAGGACCATAATACTGAGAGTGTTTGGTAAGTTCCGGTTGCGTGTACCAGATTCAGTTTAATGAATATATAAATAAACCGAAGGAAAAAAGAGAGAGCCTGGAAGCTCAGGGCCCTACGCTATGCTTCTTTTGCCTAGCTCATCATGCATGTTATTAGAACTGATGGAAATGTGTTCTTTTTGCTTTGATTGGCTATAGCGTTTTATGTCGATCATCGTCAGGCGAAATGGCACGTCATAGTACATTCGAGATCAGCGAGAAGAAGATGACGACGTCCACTAATTTAGTATCTGTGCACACGAATCTGCTGTGTGTGTTACTCTGTGTGTCAGCTATGGCATCATCGCCTGTGGTTCCATGCCTAGCATGTACGTCTGAACCATCCTGCAAAGTTTGAATGACGTAGGTTGAGCGATCGCTCCGCGAAACATACTTTTTGAAATTCTCTTCATAGTATATCTTCCACCATTGAAATTTCGAATTTCTTCGGATTTTTTGCTGAGAGGGGTGGCTTGCAACCTCGATATGGCTTGTTCCAGGCATGCTTTGGAGCCATCGCCTGTTGAAACAGTGGCGGGAAGCTGCCCTGCAACTGTTCCAAGAGGAAATTAATCGATCCGAGAAAGCGCGAGTCCGCGAATCTCGGTTGAATATTGAGTATTTCAAGCCTTTTCACGACGAAGATGGAGTTCTTTTTGGAGATGGACGTCGCGGCAAAGGACATGGTGTCCGACTTCTGGCGTCTGGTGAAGCCAGGGATCATTTGTCCAGTCAGGTCGGCAGCCTAACCGTCGGTAAGCTTGTGTTTGGATCCCGTTCTGCTCGATGTGGTAGATCACAAACAATTTGATATCGCACAAATTGATTTAAGCATCGTGCGTACGGTATTTTATATTCAGAAAATCCCAAAGTGTCTCTGTGTGGCCGTCCTATGCCACGAGAAACTCCAATCAGGCTCCTATGTCCTCTGCCTTCATGATTGAATGTCCACTTCGTTTGAACAACGAACACAACAATCGAGGACGGCTTTGCAATGAAAAATACAGCTATACTGGAGCTGAAAAAAAGAAGAAAAAAAAGTGCACAGGATGAGACTCGAGTACACGCATACTCTCCCAGCAGGTGAAATGCAAATTTTTGTGAAAAATGCGTGTCGCCGACTGACCAGTAATTTCGCCTGACGGATGGCTACAATGCCCAACCATACCTCAACGAACTGATTGGCTACATCATTGTATTCCAAAAAGTTTCCATCTGTTCGAATGACATGCATGATTTAGCTAGGCAAAAAAGCATAGCGTAGGGCTCCGAGCGAAAGAAATATACTTTCTCTTTGCATTCGAGGGTAATATGACACCGTCCACCACCTTGATGACCTAGGCAAAAAAAAAAAAGCATAGGGATGTTATACATTTTTCATTTCTCTTTCATTTTTTCAAGACATAACCTAGGATTAGAACCCGCACTATCGCCCTGCATGCATTCTCCCGATACAGTTCGCATGCATACTCATTCTTCCAAGTTGCTTCACGTTATGATCTTGCATTTCAAAGCCCTATTTGAATATTGTGTGCAGCTGTCTTTGATGATACGGTACGGGACAGGTACGGGATAGCGCCAGGCATGCTGACGTCACAAACACACACGGAATTAAAGCTGTGTGGACCCTGGTTAGCGCCAGACGTTACTGAAGTAACGTCTTCTGCATAGCTACGGGAGTAATATAAAGTATTGCTCTGATACTGAGCCAGTGAAGAGAGTGAAAATACAGTAAAACCTGGTTTAAGCGACCACCCTATCACCCTATCACCCTATCACCCTATCACCCTATCACCCTATCACCCTATCACCCTACCACCCTATCACCCTATCACCCTATCACCCTATCACCCTATCACCCTATCACCCTACCACCCTATCACCCTATCACCCTATCACCCTATCACATGGAAACTTGTTATGAAGCAACTATCCATGACTGTAACAAGATAATAAGTACAGTGGTCCCTCTATAATCCGGCACCATTTGTGCCACGAAAATCTGCTGGATTAGGGAGGGTGCTGGATTAACAAATCTGATTTACTGCTGCAATGTGCATGAAGAGGACATTTTGGCTACTGAAAATTGTGCTGGTTTATCAAGGGTGCTGGATTATAAAGTGCCGGATTAGAGAGGGACGACTGTACTAGTAGTCAGAAAGTGCGATAACAGGGCACAAAACTGACATGTTGCTGAGACATTTAACGACCTGAGGCCTAGCTCTAACACATCTCCAAAGAGCAAACCAACAGCCTTCCAGCTTGGAAGGTTTAAGGTTATGGTAAGACCAATGAAGGGAAGGTGAGCGCAGCGAAAATGTGCACAAGCTAAGTCCCACGGTAACAAAGAATGCCGACCATGACAGTACGATGATGAGACCCGTTAATAACTCATTGGTCTATTGGTCTATCCTAAATCATGAATGAGGACATTTGTATAATGCACATGCTACCGAAGTGGTCTGGTGCCCATTGCAGCATTCGCACGCTGGTGACTTTCACAGCGTATAGCGTACAGCGTATATTTAGCTTATCCCCGTACGTTAGCGTATCCCCGTACGTTAGTGTGTCCCCGTACGTTAGCGTATCCCCGTACATTAGCGTACGATGTCTACCTGTGTATAACAGCTGCTGCTCACGATTCTTTTCATTGCCAGGTTTTTTTCCTTCATTTCAGTTCAGTGTTTAATAAATAACAGTGTGTTTAATGAGACCCTTGTGTATGTTTGCCTCCGAGAGACTGCGGCCCGCTACACCCATCATGCATTAGCAGAGAAGCTGGCAGTTGACACTAGAAGTGCACACAGTCAAATGGCTTGTGCCAGGTCAGAGGTGGCAAACTTCACAACTGTGTGATGCATAGTACTACTTCTCAAAGTGCATTCTGTAAAACATGGTATTTTCGGTGTAATTTTAATTTAATTTTTTTAATTTTATTTTACCATCCAATGGCGGAAGCCAATGCAAAGGAGGGGGCGTTAGCCAGCCATGGCAAGAGAAGGAAAAGTAACTTCAATTTCGGTGATTTCGGTAGAGAAACCCGGCACCTAAATTTAAATTACACCTAAAAGGCACTAGAGCATGCACTGTATGTGTAGGGAACACTGGTCACCTAATTCTAAGTTACACCTGAAACCTGTCAGGTGCCTGGCACCGGAATGTTAATGCACCTATAATTACATGTCTTAGAGTATTCGTATTGGGAACGTAGTGCGCACGTGGGATTTGGGGCCTGAACAAGTTCATCTAAAGTACACATTATTCTCCCGTCAATTACAGTATGAAAGCAGGGGAAAAAAGGACCTAAAAAGCCGACAACGTGGAGACAATAATCCCAATAATCCAATGAATCTAAACCATTGATAATTGTGGCAAGAAAGCGTTCTGGAATACTTTATTCGTCGCTATGATTGTGTGATATGTGTGTGCACATCTAGTTTTATTCATTGCATAAAAATAAAAAAAAGGATCTTAGCTCGAATACGGAGCCAATAATAAATGTAAAAAAGGAGAAGACTCTTTATCACCTTGTCACAGTCGTGCATAGTTGCTGCGTTCTCGTGGATTTTCTTCTCTTTTTACATGAATTTTATAAAAAAAGGATCTGTTCCATTTTTTTTATCACGTTGTGGACGGAACAAGGGGAAACAAAACGAAGACAAAAAACAAAAACAACAACAATGGGTGTGTAGGCGCTACATGAGCTGCGCTGGTGAGATGCGGTGGAGACTAGAAAGCAATAACACTGAGCAAGAGGACATGCGTCGGGCTCTTCAACATCATCGTGAAAGGTTTTCACTAGTGTGCTTGCAAGCCTTATCGTCAGGTGAAACACAGGCAAGAGCATGGCGTGGGTTCGAATCCCACTGCTGCCACCATGTTACGTGACCAGTCTTAGCTATAACCAACAATGCTACAGCCGTGTGAATGGCATTTCAGAGTAATAGCAACAATGCTACAGCCGTGTGAATGACACTTAGAGTAATAGCAACAATGCTACAGCCGTGTGATTGGCACTTAGAGTAATAGCAACAATGCTACAGCCGTGTGAATGGCACTTAGAGTAATAGCAGGGAGTAGTAAGAACAGAACAGAGCAATGGCAAAACCAGTTGCGAGAACTAGCAGAAGCGTAAAGAACACACTGACTAGCGAAAGCCTGAAACGCCAGCAAAGAGCCAAAACGAATAAGGCTTTTTTTTTTCTTTTTTTGCTAGAGCCACGTAAACCCGTCATGTGTGAGCCATGAATAAGGGGAGTGGTGGCGTGGTCTGGGATGAAAGTATATTATTCATTTCCCCTCTTCCTCCCCTCCTCATGGTTTTACTGCATTATGGCGCGCTTTGTCTGCGTAGACGCCGAGACCTTTGAGGTCGGCAGAGCAGCCTGGCCCCGCCACCACTTCTCGCACATATTCGGGAATATGGTGGACTTTCGTATAAAAAAAATAAAAAATAAATAAACAGACCATGTTGAAAAGCCTGAACTGTGTCCATTATCACAGTGTTAGTAGATTAGAAAAAAAAGAAAAGAAAAAAAAAGCCTCATCAGGTGTGCAGGAATGGGCTCGGATGGAGAGCCAGGGTTTAATTTATATCGCATGAGCTGATTGTTTCGTAACTGGTGGTGTTAGTGGACAGTATAGCGTAACTTTTAGTTCCTTGGTCCTTTCTCTTTTGTATAATTTGTTTTCCTGTTTGTAGCCCCATTCAACGTATCAGTGCATGGTTCAATTACGGGAAACCGGAATGTTTCTCGACAGCCCCAACTGCACAATACAACAAATCCGTACAAAGTCCTTAATGGCTCTAACGCTCCTGAGCACATGGAGGATCTTTTCTGCAATGCGCAGGCGCCAAAATCTCACTATGTAAGGAGTAGCGTTCCACTGAACTGGCAAGAATCCATTTGGTTCTTCAATGGAATTCGCATCACGGACGGAAGCCGTGGCTTCAAAATCGTCACCACCACGAAATACTCGCATCATGAAAACGATGCGATTACAAAAAGTCATTTGTTTTGGCCATCGATAATCACCACCGACCTAACTGGAAACTACACGTGTCAGATGGGTGTTGATTCCCAAACATTCCGCGTCCAAGTGCAAGGTAAGCAAGCTCGAGTTCTAATCTGCTATTGTTCTGGAGTGACTGCATACTCGGCAACCATAATACCGGTTTTCCCAGTAGACTACCGGAAACCTAGGATAACTACCCGCATACCGCGGATTTTCGACATTGATCGAAAAACTACCCGGATTGGCACTGACCAGCGAGTGTTAAAAAAAATAGGCTGTTTTGCGGTGTGACACGGGCACATGTGGCCATGCATTTGCAGAATCACACACGTAGAGGCGATGTGATAATGAAGAAACTCAGATGTTGGGCCCCCAATGCACATGTACTTACATGCACCATTCTCCATACACATTTCTATCCGGTTGTGCACTGCCATTTCTGAACTCAGATGGTGAGCCAAGGAAAAAAAATTGTAATAATAAATATTATATGTAGAAAGGAAAAAAGACATATGGATATGAGTTGAGAGTAACTCTCCACCACTGTAGCTAGATACTATATACAGTCAGAAAGTGCAACAACTAGGCACAAAACTGACAGACCTTGAACCTTCCAAGTTGGAAGGCTGTCGGTTAGCGCTACGGAGATGTGTTGAAGCTAGGTGTCAGGTCGTCGAATGTCTCAGTACACTGTCAGTTTTGTGCCTAGTTGTTGCACTTTCTGACTGTATATAGTATCTAGTTACAGTGGTGGAGAGTTACTCTTATCTCGTATCCATATGTCCTTTTCCTTTCTACATATATTGTTAGCTCGACATCCGAGTTTGAAATTGTAATAATTATGGAAATTGTGGGCACAAGTTATGCGATCGAGTCCACCAACTAAACCAGATTTTGAACAGTCAGACGTGCACAACCTAGCATCAAACTGACAAGGAGTACTGAGACATTCCACGGCATGAAAGTCAGCTTGAGCACTGCTCGATAGCGCTAACCAACGGCCTTCCAACTTGGAAGGTTCATGGATATTAGTGCCAATTCCAAAGAGGGGAAGGCGAGCTCCATCGAGCCGAGCACAAGCTACATTCCAAGGCTTCATGGAATGCTGACCTGGCATGACGACGGGACGGCAAGACCAGACAGAACGGTCAAACCACAATTCGACAACGCAAAGCAGCAACCACCCAACTTGGGAGGCTCAATATTATCAGAGATGGAAATATGAAGGGGAAGCTTCGCGAGGACGAATTGTAACAAACCGAATGCCAATATCCTGCAGTGCTGTACTTAGCTGATGACAATGATGGATTAACTAATTGCAATATGTATAGTATCACTCGACGATCGTTTCGCCGTATTGTTCATGACGGCTCTTCAGGTGTGCATTTTTAAAGAACTCATAGGTTTGTGCGCACTTTTGCTGGCTTTCGGGGCATCATGTGTATGGAAAGGTGCCGGAAGGGAAGGTCCAACATGTGCACTGTTTATTTTTAGCGCATACCAGGCGCGTGCTGGTGTGCATACCAGCCACAGTGACTGGCAGAGTCGAAACGTTAGTAATCAAAGTCGTCGCATGCCGGAAATTGGAAATTGCGGCTCGAATTGTTGCTCCCTGTGCCTGGACGCGCATTTGGGCACACATGAACCACAAATGCAGGCCGATACACACGTGCCAGCTTTGAAGACGGCTTGAGAAATGTCACTCCTTCTTGATGCGGTCAGCGACTTTTGCCTATTTCCGCTTTCATTCGATGTTTGGCACAATGGATAACACTTGTACTCTCTTGTAGAATGCAGGGATGAATTTATCCGGTATCGCATCGCAGTTTGCTACGCCAAATCGATCTACTGCTACTCAAAATCACAGTGACACGCAGACAACTGTGATGCATACACATACAGCCTATCCATGCTTTTTGTAGCTTACGCCACAATTGAGATTTTGCAAAGCAAAAACTGCTATGCAGAAACATGACAGTAAATTCATTCCTGGAATGATGTTGCCACCATTTCCATTCCCGAGGGTGCATTCTACCCTGAACATGCATTGTAATAAAATAAAAATCCATAGCACTGCTCCACCGGGAGAGGGAAACGAAAGGACATGAAAAGGACTATAGAGAACAATGAGAAGGTGGGCCAGTACAAGGTAGCCGTGATGGTGAGCCTCCAGGCACTCCACTGAACATTGGTCTCAGCATCAGCATGCTACCAGCGCAGCAGAAACAAGGAATGCATGGAAAAGAAAAGAAAAGAAAGGAAAAACGGATCTCGTCGGATCAGATGATGCAGTGAAAGAAAGAAGAAAGAAGAAAGGATAAGTTCCCCAGTCTGGAAAGCATCAGTCTGGATAGCGTCAGTCAGGATAGTGCCAGACAGCTGTGACATTTAGTTTTCTGGGACAATGTGGACAGGATGCGCGTGGGCAGGGAGCTAATAGGGAGGTTTCGCTCTACGTAATTACGCATGAAAATCCGTGTCGTACGCGCCGGGGAGCGAGGGCAACTTTCATACGTAAATCTCTCTACGGATTTCCGTAGGAAAGCTCTTTCCTACGTTGGGGCCTCCGTATACGCGTAGGGCTGTTTGAAATATTTTTTCGCATTTTCCGCATTTGTCCATGGCAACATTCAAGCCGCGCGAAATACAACGTACACATGTACCGTACACCATGCGAAAAATATAATGGAAAGCGCAGTTTCGGTTCATGGTGCATGCGGTGGGCGCATGCAGCCAACGCGTCTCCAAAGCAACAACGCATGTCTAGCAGTCGTGGAGAAATCACGTAGAGCGAAACCCAACCGCTCCGATTTTCACTAGGGCTGAAACGGTTACACATTTGTGCTTAACGGTTAGCTGTTAGCATAACGGTCGGTTAACCGGTTATAACCTATAAAACTGCAACATGGAAACTTCATTGTTTTTGACGCCATTTTATGCCTTGTCTGAAGAATTTTCATGATTCTGTACAAAATACTCGAAAATAGGTAACATCCGCTGGGTGGCTAAAAATTGGAGTGCACAATTTTCCCCTTACACCTGAGGTCATCACTTTGGTGTCCTTCACTTGATTTTCCCAATCTTGGGCTCCTTGGCAAGCTCCTGGTGAGAGCAAAGCGATGATACTAGGTTCCATCAAGCAATCTCCACATATCAGGTGCAGGAATACAGCGAAGTCGTTTCCAAGCCCGATATGCAAGCAAATCCGTCCCATCAACGCCATTTCACTTTCTTCCATCGCAGAATGAACAAATATTTTGAGACGATTGAACTTCAGGCCGCTACGTCACTAGCTTGTGCTCAGTCGACTACTACATAGTAGTAGTTCCAAAGGCACGCCAAAAAGGATTTGTTTCACAAAAGGTGGTGATGCGTGTCGATCGAAAATTTGAATTTGCAGAGATAGGAATCCGGCATGCGATATCTCTGGAGTCAGACATCGCAGATCTTCGGCGATTGTTGCAATGGCGAGCTCGGAGTTTCCGCTACCACGTAGAGCCTTCGATTATTGAATTTGAACAAGAAACGACGGAGTTATGAAGGTTCCTATTTTTCCAAAAATGTTGGAAAATACCGCTGCAAAACCGTCGATCAAACGGTTATCCGTTTGTTTGGACCTAACGATTACATAACCGGTTATTCGTAATAACCGTTTCAGCCCTAATTTTCACGTATGAAAATTCCGTGTAGTTCATACGTTATTTTCATACGTAATTCCGTAGAGCGAAACCTCCCTCATGCAATGCACGTGTCGTCAGTTTAATCCGACGAACTGCGGCTCTCCTCGCCACTCCACACAACAACAAAAGACTCGTGCACACTGGGAGAGAGAGCGTTTTCTCTAACTGGCTTTCAGTAAGGGGACTGGAGAACTGCGCTCCAACAAAACGGACAAGAGAATATATTATGGGGACGTGGAGAAAAGAGGGGAAAAAGTGGGGTGAGGGATACTAAAGAGGTGCCTGTGCAAAGTACAACAAGGCCTGAACAGGACGGGAGACAAAGACGAACGACGGGGAAATACGACGGACACAAGACGGCAACCAGACAAATACAACGGAGTCAAGACGAGAAAATGTGTATGCAACGGGGACGAGATGATAAATAATGCATACGGAGGGGACAGAAGACGGTGCAGCGGCATGTACTAAGCATTCCAAGACGGCGCAGCGGCGTGTACCACGGATCAGCAGCATGTACGACACAGAGACACATACGCAGCCACGTGTACGACAAAAGAGACACAAGCGCAGCCACATGTACGACAAAAGAGACACAAGCGCAGCCACATGTACGACAAGAGACACCCGCGCAGCCGCATGTACGACACAGAGCTACAAGCGCGACCACATGTACAACACTATCCCCAACCAAAAAAAGACATCCACTCCTGTGGATGGAAGTGTATATAGAAAAAAAACAGGAGAAGACAGACCGGAGAAGAAGACAGAAAGACCGGGGAAATGAAATGTGAAACAACATAAATAGGCGACAATAAAACACAAAAGAAGTGGGGTCACGACTGTTGAACGCATGACGAGTAGGCCAGGAGGGTTAACACCAGTCGGGAGCCCCGCAAAACTGTGCATCAATCAAATGGAACCTGCAAGCAACAGATTTTGCAGAGGACCCCGGCTGGCGAGCTGTTCGACCTGTAGTTGTCCCTTTGGATCTTGATTATTTGAACAGCACCAACCTAGTACGCCACCCACCCAACAGTCGAGACAAACAAAATTACACATGCAAGAGAAAAAATGCAGCTGACGCAAGATCGTTATAGCAATAAATGTCCACCAACGGAACAACATCGGATAAGTCCTCCAGGACAGGAGGCGTAGCCGGCCGCGGTGCAGGAGAAGAGGGTGCGGATAGTGCTGACAGTGAATCAGGTGACATGCATGGTGCTGTGTGCTGTGCTGCCCGGCGGACTCTGCGGCGCTGTCGCGAGCGGCGAGACCGACGGCGCACACGGCGAAGCAGCGGGAGTGCTGGAGGTGCCGGTGGACAGAGCGGGGGAGGCAACGGAGCAACCGGTAGAGAGCACTCCGACCCCGTCATGGCAAAATAGACAGACGCCACATGTACAACACACGGGTGACTGCTGGCGAAACAATAGCATTTGAGCCACGTCCTCATTCCGCTGTCCGTTTTGCGTGTGTGCTCCTCATTCTCATTCTCATTCTCAGTTCCCGCACCGACTGTGCCAACTACGCCAAGCACGGGTTTGATCACAACCCAGCCAACCACTCAGCCCACAACCACACCGACCACCACACCAACCACGACACCAACAACCACACCAACTACCACACCAACCACCACACCAACGACCACACCAACTACCACACCAACTACCACACCAACTACCACACCAACAACCACACCGACCACCACACCAACCACCACACCAACGACCACACCAACAACTATACCAACTACCACACCGACCACCACACCAACTACCACACCGACCACCACACCAACTACCACACCGACCACCACACCGACCACCACACCGACCACCACACCAACTACCACACCGACCACCACACCGACCACCACACCGACCACCACACCAACAACTACACCAACTACCACACCGACCACCACACCGACCACCACACCGACCACCACTCCAACAACCACACCAACTACCACACCGACCACCACACCAACAACTACACCAACTACCACACCAACCACCACACCGACCACCACACCGACCACCACTCCAACAACCACACCAACTACCACACCGACCACCACACCGACCACCACACCAACAACTACACCAACTACCACACCGACCACCACACCGACCACCACACCGACCACCACACCAACGACTACGCCAACTACCACACCAACAACCACACCGACCACCACGCCGACCACCACGCCGACTACCACTCCAACTACCACACCGACCACCACACCGACTACCACTCCAACTACCACACCAACTACCATGCCCACAACCACGCCCACAACCACACCGACCACCACACCAACCACCACACCAACAGCCACACCGAAGACCACACCAACAACCACACCAAGTACCCAACCCATAACTCAAACCACAACTCAGCCCACAACCAAACTGTCAACAGCACAACAGACGGCCCAATCCACAGCACAACAGACGGCCCAACCCACAGCAATATCCACAACCCAACCCACAGCAATATCCACAACCCAACCCACGGCAATATCCACAACCCACAGCACAACCCACAACCCAACCCAACCCACATATAATCCAACAGATCAGCCTACAGCAATGCTCACTGCTCAACCAACAACTGTGAATACAAAGGTAACTACACCCGAACGGCCTACACAGGCTACTGGAGTGGCCACCCCCGCTGCAGTTACCTCACCACGTACTACAAAAGGTAAGGCACTGATGGAAATGTGTCGTTGTTTCCTTGTCTATTGCTGCTTTGGATTTCTTTTCTCCTTTGCTGTGCAGGTGCGCCCTTTGTTATTCCACTTTTGTGTTCTTTCCAAGAAATGGTTTTGAGCTGATGATGTAATGCTTTGAGTTGATGATGTAATGAGGTGATGATGTAATGAGGTGATGATGTAATGAGGTGATGAGGTGATGATGTAATGAGGCGATGATGTATAATGCTTTGAGATAAAGTGCACACATCGCAGAAAACACGCTCAGGGGTGGCTTTGTTGCATAATTTGATTAGGGCAACCGAAAACGGTACGGAACGTGCAAAAACCGCACCAATTTAACATACAGGAAGAAAAGGACCAAGGAGCTGGCAAGTACAAGTGACGCTATAATGTCCACTATCGCCACCTATGCCTTCCAACCTTCAAAGTTGGCAGGCTGTTGGAGTGCGCATCCAAGTTGTGCTAGAGCTCATGGCAGTTAGTTGTAGAGCGTCAGTACCGTCGGTCAGTGTCGTGCAGTGTTACCGCATGAGCTGATTGTCAAGTAACCGGTGGTGTTAGAGGACATTTCAGTCTAACTTCTAGTTCCTAGGTCCTTTTTTCTTGCTACAGTCAGACCTCGCTTATCCGGTCCTCGTTTATCCGGATCCCTCGCCATCCGGTAGAAAATCGTTGGTTACAGATTTACAGCATATGCCATGCATACATACAGTATGTGTGTTCAATCATCCGGTTCCCTTGCCTATCCGGATATTTTCTGGAAAACGGTTGTGTGCGGTTAAGCGAGGTCTGACTGTATTACTTAAAATTCTTGGCCCTCCATTGCTATTACTTAATTCTTGGCCCTCCATTGCTATAACCTAATTCTTGGCCCTCCATTGCTATTACTTAATTCTTGGCCCTCCATTGCTATTACAGTCGTCCCTCTCTAATCCGGCACTTGTTTATCCAGCACCCTTGCAAACCAGCACACTTTCTGGCAAAACGGATTTTTTCAGTTCATCTTCTACGCTTTAATCCGGCACTTGAATTCCGCCTCCAGCAGCGATTTTCTGCAACAAATCACTCAAACTGTACATAATTCGATTTTCTAATCCAGCAGTTGTACATCGCAGACTGTCAGGGACCATTGTAACATACACAACACATGCAACATACACTTGGGAATATCCCATGCCAGTACATAGGATATTCCTAAGTGTCTAACTTATAGACATGCATTCCACAAAGTACTTGGTTTGACACAGAAAATCCCTACGTTTTGACGTACGACACAAACATGTATGATAACATGTGGGCCGGGTTGGAGGGCAAGATTTCATAATCCAGCACCCTTGTTTATCCAGCAGAAAATGCTGTTGCAAAAGGTGCCGGATTAGAGAGGGACGACTGTGCCTAATTCTTGGCCCTCCATTGCTATTACTTAATTCTTTCTTTTTTTTTTTTTTTTGTTGAGGAAAATGTTATTAACTCCAAAGCACGAAAAAGGCCAAAAACTAAACCAAGAACATATGCAATAACATGTTATTTATAAAGACAGGACAAGTGAATAATTAGTCAGTCCATTGTTCATGATGATCTCCGACGGTTACGTCGGCAAGCGAGCCTCCGCCACTGCCAAAGCAGCGTGGGCTCCGCAGGAGGGTGCAAATTTCAAACCAAAATTTAAACGCCTACAACCGCGAATGCACATGATACAGGATTTCAGAAGGCTGAAGGAAATCCTGCATCTAACAAATGCCATTACATGAGAGTAATGCTCACCCCTCTTCTCCGCCAACAGATGAGCAATTCGTTTATACAGTGCTGTTGATGCTGGACCCATTCCGCCACTGGCTGACATGACCTTACTTAATTCTTGGCCCTCCACCTTCCACCCTCCACCCTCCACCCTCCACCCTCCACCCTCCATCCTCCATCCTCCATCCTCCATGCAAGCATAACAATAGTTTAGCATTGCGATTTTTTGAAGCAATGAAACATGGGTTATTAGTGCCCGATTTTCCAAAGTATCCCCTGGGGAGGGCCTTTCAACCCCCTCCGCATGGCCGTACCAGTGCGGAACACCTTCCCACGTCCCTGCTGATAGGCCTGCCCTGTGTGCATGGTAAGTAGCTGCTGCTCACAAGTCTACCTGATTGTTACACACGTGCACACACACACACACACACACACACACACGCGCGCGCACACGCGTGCACACATACAAACACACACACACACACAACACACATAATACACACACACACATATTAATGGTGCTTGTCTGTGCTCGTGTCTTGCTGCTGGTGCGGTATAGCGGTGCCGGCAAATGTCACGACGAAGAGCTACACGCGTCGCCTGACGCTGGACAACGTCAGCACACTGGCGTGTTCGGCCATCGGCGACGACCCTCTAACCCTGGTCTGGTGGAAGGAAAGCCGCCGTCTGGCACAGGGCAGCGGACCAAGCTTGCTGCTGGTCCTTCAGGGCGTGGAGACGGACTCTGGACTCTACACATGCACCGCGCACAACCCGGCCGGCAACGACTCCATGACGGTCTTCGTCTTCAAGAATGGTATGAGGGCATGCTCCGTGTGTGTGTGTGTTTGTGTGTGTGTGTGTGTGTGTGTGTGTGTGTATGTTTGTGTGTGTGTTTAGGTGGGTGTTTGTGTGTGTTTGTGTGTGTGTGTGTTTGTCGCCTGCTCAATTTTAGTCATTTTTATTTATTTTTAATTAAAGATACTCAAATCACCGGCAGCCATATAAGG